CTTGAAGACTTGAAAAGATCTGATATGCTGATGAATGAAAGAATGGATAAGCAGGACACCAAAATTGATGCAATAGCGAACATGTTAACTCAGAAACAGGAAACCAACACCCAAATCAAGAGCATGTTGGAGGCCTTGTTCACACGACTTCCTCCTCCTTCTTAGAATTTCCTTGTTATTTTTATAACTTGTTTACATGTAATATTTATACATGTTCTAAACTTATCATTGCTTCGGTTTTTAATATAAATGCATTTTTAGCTCTGATTATTTTAACTCTGATTATTTGTGCTTTTTGATAACTGACAAAAAGGGGGAGAAAGAATGATATTTTTCAATAACGGATTACTGAGACATAAGTCTCAAACATTCTAACACTCTGATATATTTGAATTTCTTTCTTCTGAAAAGCTTACAGGTACAAAACTCTGATGAATCCGATGAACTCTGATACAGTAAAGTTCTGATGCTCAAAGTCTCATGGAAATAAAGGGAAGTAATCAACACAGGGGGAGTTTTTTCTCTTCGTTGCTCTGATACCTTTTATTCTTTATTTGTTTATCTCTGATACCTTTTATTCTTTAATTTTAATTGAAAAAATCTGGTTTTTGTCATCATCAAAAAGGGGGAGATTGTTAGAACATAGTTTGATTCTACAATCCTCAATTAGAGTTTTGATGATAACAAAATACAAGAATAAATAAATTGTAAGATTTATATATAAGACATATATGCTACTTAAAATTATGTTTTGTGTTTACAGAAACTCTGATGGAATCAGCATCAGAAGATCAGTATCAACATTAGCATCAGAAGATATGTCAGCATCAGAAGATTAAATAACATGTGCTACACGCTGAAGCTACCAGATCATACGCTGAAGCCCGATGAACAGAATCTGCACATAAAATACTCTGACTCTGATCAAGATCCTAACCAAGTCATCAGCATTCAGAAGCGTCAGCATAAAGGAAAGAACACTCTGATTATCATTAGCAGAACACTCTGAAGCGTTACTATGAATTCAAGACAGATTAATTACCAACGGCTTTATTCCAAGACAAGATCTTCTCAAAAAGGAAAGAACATAATTATCATTGAAAGTGATTTATGGACAACAACGTATCTTTTCCTTGGCTATATAAACAAGTCAGTGTGAGAAAAGAAAAGGCTAATAATCTTCACGTATATACACGCCTACGTAAACGAACTCACTCATACAATTTGCTAAAGCTTTCAACCACGCCTACTCAAAAGCATTAGCAATCCAGTTTCATTCTAAGCTTAATATTGTGTATTATCACAGTTGTGATTTATAGTTTTATTAGAAAACATCAAACACACTTTTGTTCATTTATCTGTAAGAGAATTTCCTTGAGATAAATCGGGTTGTGGTTATACTCAAGAAGGTTTTAACAGTTGTTAAAGTAGTTGTGTAATCAGTTGATTATAGTGGATTAAGACCTCGTTGGAGAGAGGCGAAATCACCTTGACGGGTGGACTGGAGTAGTTTGAGATCAAACGAACCAGGATAAAAATACCGTGTTGTCTGCACTTTTGATTTAAGTTTTACAATTCAACCCCCCTTCTTGTGTTTTTCACATCTTCAGGACCTACATACGAAACTAAGGGTCCAGTTTGATTTGTGGTTAGCGTTGGCATTGATCCAACAGAAATTGGGATATTCCCTTCGACAACAGTAGTAACCACTGTTCCTGTGACTGGTGGAGGTATTTCTCCATGGTTTGGCTCGTTAGCCATACTACTCTCACTATTTTTCTTCCTAACAGTATACTCGTTGGTTACTCTACCACTTCTTAATAACATACAACGTTATAACTGTACAGTAAAAACACAACAACATAAACAAACTTTTAATAAAAATTAGCAGGGTCCCACCAGGTGTGCCAATTTGTTTACCGTGGTTTTCGGTAAACAAGCGCTGATCTCCAAAAGGAAAGTTCTTTTTGGTTTACTTACGGGATCGATCAGATTAATCCCATAACATATGCTAATTTTTATGTAAGACGGATAAGCGGGAAGAACGCACGTTCGACCCAGAGAAAAGATGTTTGAGATTTTGGAAAAGTAGGCAGAAATGTAGAAATGCAAGTAAAAGAAGTAAAAAAGATAACTTTGCAAGACAATATTAAAGTGATGTAAAAGACTTTCATTAATAAAAAGAGGTGTTTCCAACGTACATTTCTCAGTTTTATCCTTTCTCATGCAGCAGTTACTTGGATAATGTTTGAGTGACTTAGTACAATAGGTTGAACACACTTGAAAACTACACAAGTTTCCTAATTTATACTAAAAATAAGTAACCGTCGAGGGATCATTCTGCGCTAAGATGAAGACAAGTGTCTTCTGCATGTCCCTCGACCTATGGCTTTCAGCCACATTGCTTCTTCTTAGCCGCTGGCGAAACTGCCTTTCCCTCCAATAATTCAAAATTCAAATATCCCTTGTATCATGTGTCAAAGCGAGGATATTTTCTCTCCGTCGAAGGACATAAGTCCTTTTCAGTCGAACAAGCCTGAAGGTGAGCCCTGGTCGAAGGCTCAAAAATAACTTAGATTTTTCTCCTAAGTTATTTCATACGTCAAATATTCTTCTTGGCTTGGTTTACCCCAGTTTTTTGGTCTAAAAGATCAAATATAGTAAGTGTCGAATTTGGGAGCCAACAGTTTGTTACTAGTTACTAATATATATACATATATATATATATATATATATATATATATATATATATATATATATATATATATATATATATATATATATATATATATATATATATATATATATATATATATATATATATATATATATATATATATATATATATATATATATATATATATATATATATATATATATATATATATATATATATATATATATATATATATATATATAAACCTTATAGAATACTTTAGTTTTTAGTTTTTTTGAATTCTTTTCATATATTTCATCATTGTTAATATGTTTGTGAAAGATAATATTGATTTTATAAGTTAAGTCATATAGTCAAATAGTTTAATTCAATATAATACAAGTTTCAAAAAGAATTACAAATTTAAATAAGTAATTAACAATCTAAGAAAGCTTAGATTTTAAGTGAACATATTTAGTAAGACCAAAAACATAATATGAAGTTTAAAACATTTACACTATAATAAAAATATGTGTAAAAAATTAAACAATATTTTAAAAAACAACATATAAAATTAATGAAAGAATTACTCTAAAATTAAAAGTTATCGTTTTCACAACCAAAAACAAAATATTAAGCTTAAAAGATTTATACTATACAATAAAATTTGTGTAAAAAATTAAACAATATTTTAAAAAACCACATAAAATTAATGAATGAATTACTCTAAAGTTAAAATTTATCATTTTCACAAAATTCATAAATATTCTAAAATTAAGATTTATCATTTTCACAAAATTTAATTGAAGAAAAATTCACCAAAAAATAAAAGATTAAAAATCTTTTGTTTCGGTAAAGTAATTCACACACTCTTAACAAAATATAATGATATAACTTAACGATTTGAGTATTTAATATTCAACGATGTCTATTTTTCGTGAGAAATTAAAATACAAAATAAAAAATGCATTCTTCAAAAAATAAAAAAGTTTTTTTTTTTTTATCTTAATATTGACTGTGATGATCAGTTATATAGAGTTTAAGTCGATTGAAGGTAGAATGTCTCACATCTATAAAATGATGAAGATTTAATATTTTATAAAATGTTTAGAAAAAATATATAAAATAATTATTGAATTTTTTTCCACTTATTTCTCATTTTTAAATTAAATAACAACGTCTTATTTATCATTTTAATAATTCAAACATTTTGTTTATTAAAAGTTGTTTTCTTTTTTTTATCCTCTTGATCTTATCGACTCAATTACAATATTCTTATATTAAACAAAATTAAAATTTATATAATCCATTTTCTGTTTTCTCTCTCTTATTATTATGCTGTTTTGAGTCTTCCATTGAAGCATTTGGTGTTTTGAGTCTTTTATGATGGATCAGATTTGTAATGATGTATGAACTTTTCTGTTTCTGGTTATTCAGATTTTGAATTGATTGATATATCCAGTCCTTATTGAATAATCTGTTTTAGACACATACATGAAGTGATTGAGCTTTTTGGGTAATTGCTTTTGGATGCGAAGGTAATTTATTGTTATTGAATTAGTTTGTTTCTTTATTATTAGAAAGATGAGAACGACCACCATTTTTTTATGTTTGTGGCTTTTACAAGAGCATGTATCTTTTGAATTTATGTATGAGATAAGAGTATGTCATATTTATCAGTACTTATCTTCTACAGGTTTCTGTAGCTAATAAAGTGATCATACTGGCAATGATGGTTGTGTACTGAGAAGTGAGGTGAATATCATGATATGTTGGTTTATTGCTGTAGCTATTAAGTTTTGGCTCAGCACCGACGCAACCCACTTCTTAAGGTGAACATTGTGTCTTGACATTTCCCAAATCAACATTGAATGTTCATTTTCATGGCTGATGCAGAATTGATGCGTCGAGGTGATGTGGGTGTTTGAGCTTATGCGTCAAAGTCAGTGTTGATGCAATTTGCGGTTGATTCACTGTTGTTGCTGTTGTTTCACTGTTGAGTGTTTATTTTTCTTGATTATGTTTGAAATCGGAGACAATGTAAGTGGTGAAAGATTAAGGATAGTTCATCAAATTGAATGAGATATTTGTGGCATTGATAGGAACAACATTTGATTCTGTTTGAGATCTTTATGAAAAAGAATTAAAGAACAGTTCATATTTTCATATTTTCATATTTCAATTGAAATTTGATTGGAGAATTAACGGATTTATGTATTTGTTTAAATTAGGACTCTGAGGTTGAAGAATATGAAAACTTGTTGTAAGAAAAATGTTACACTATTTTTTGAAGTGTCAAATGTATAAAGAGGCTGCAGTTTATTATGAGTGGAATATCTAATTTATGGTTAAACTACTTTTGCAGGAGCGGACTGTGAAGGTGATTTTGTATATATCATCTTTGAGTTGTAATGTGAAAAAGGCCTTTTCTCATAATCTCAACTTCTACTGGCCTGTTTACATGGGAATAAAATATGTATGTGATAGCATTAGAGCATTAGAGTTTTACAATGAAGATGGTCGTAGTTAATTTCAAATATTACTATCATCATCTGATATCATCACTGAGGTATATTCATATTTCTATTCCTACAGCTTCTCGTATAACTGACTTTTTAGAAACAATTTGAGTATTTTTCCTACAGTTTTTTATTTTTCTGGATGCTTATATATTAAAATATTGAATTGGAAAAGTTTTGAGTTTCAATTTCATTATTTGTTTCTTCAAAAGCTTACTAATTAAGGAAGAGAGATATGCTTGTAGATTTCTTATTGTGATCATTAAACTATGTCAAACATTGTTAACTATGCTTAAGGCATAAACATGCTTGATAATTAAAATCTAACTTTAGAATTATTTCAAGACTGCACTTAACTAAACTATTCATTAGAAAATAATATATTGCAATTTAATTAGTCAGCTCATCCTTGGACTTTGACATGCAGAAACTTTATAGCATCAAGTTGTAGATAGAGACAATATAAACATATCTTGTAATTGTTTTGAAAATTATAGTTCATGATGTATATGCTTGGTAATTTGTTATTGTATTAATCTTATTCAAATTTTGCTAATTTTTTATACAAGAATGTTTATTTGCTTTATGTTGCAGGTAATTTGTGTTGCAGGTAACTCATCATCTATGCTGAAGAGGAAAATATATAGCACCAACTATATATTGTGACAATGCAAAAGCAAAGAGATAGAAAGACAAATATAGAGAATTCAATATTATAGAATTGGTGACCAATATATTAACATATTATATTGTAGTTTAGAATAAGATTTACAATAGAATAAGATGTTCATTATATACATTATAAGCAGCCAATAAGAAAGGCATCTTCTTGACAAGGTATTATTTAGTAGCTATAGTTTTTTCTGTTTCCATTTTAAATTCTAGGAGAATATTATCAGCTATCACAACCTTCTTAACCTCTTAGCATGAAATGAGAGACTGCTAGCTTCAACGTAGGCCTGCTTTTTCGGGTTCCCTATACCGTTTATACCCAGTTCGTTCTTATTTTAATTTTAATTTATCTGTCCATTTGTAGAGAAGTACATTGCAATTAACATGTGATTGAGTTTTTGACACATTACCATGAAATTAGGATGGCACACTAAGTAGTCAAACTGTCAAAATGTCTTTTTACAGTCGTACATTAAGTATGTCGCCGTTGAAACTCATCATTTTAATTTTATCAATTCCTATGAAATTTATTACTGAAATTTACTATTTTCAGGGATCGTAGTGATCTCTGAAAATTTACTATATATACACACACGTGCGAACGCACATGTATTTTATTAGTTTATAAATATAAGCAATAGCATTCCTTAGAATTTTATTCCCATCATTATTATTATTTGGAATAATATTTTTATCTAAGTGTTTGGCAAAAATAATTTTTTTTAGGAATGTTTATAATATTTATTTAATTTAAAAATTATAAAAATTAATTTTTTTATATAAATGTGAGTAATAGTGGAGAGTTGTAGATAGTTAAATTTTATTCCCATGAAAATGTTGGATCCCCATCATTTATACCTTAGAATAAAAATAAAATAATTATATGTAAATAAAGTTTTTAGGAATGAAATATATCTTGAAATACATTTTTAAAATTTGAAACAAAAATAGTAGAAATGTTGCTTTCTCTTGACTATATTTTCGGAAATACTCTTTGCGGCCTTCAAATAAACACACCCTTAAGTTAATTTTAATGTATAATTCCTTACACATAGTTTCTCTTTTCTTTTTTTAATCAAAGTTTGATGCAAGAATCGTGTTACATATTTAGTCGATGTGGTATGTTGTAGTAAAATTTCATCTTATTTATATTTTTTGAATCAAATAAAAGAATATATTAACTCAAAAAACTATAACAATACAAGGTGATCATACAAGATCCAAGCGTCCTATATCAACAACTTATACCATGAGTTTTTCTATATGGCTCCTAACATTCTTATAAAGCCATCCTCTATATACTATACAATCAATAATGTTGTTGTAAGTATCATCATGAATATGATTATTAAACACTACATTGTTCCTGTAAACCCATATCCCATAGATGGTCTCAGTGAAGGCAAGTTTTAAAACACTAGCTCTCCATCCCTTCTTTGAAGTATGCCCAATGATTGAAACCAATCTCTCCTTCCAATTTTTAGGTTGATGATGAATTTTCAGCCAAGCAAGAACATGTTTCCAAATGGTAAGAGTATACTGGCAGTCAAAGTATAAATTCCCTATGGATTCATCTGCATTATTACATAAGTTAGAAACACTATCTTGTATCATATTAAACCTCTTCAGCCTATCCTTTGTGGCAAGTTTCCCATGGCAAAATAGCCAAGTTGTATGGATAGCCCTAAGTCTGACAAAGTTACCTTTAAAGAGATACCTCCAATGCACCTTGAGTCTGTCTTCAGACATAGGTTCATATACCTGCTTCATTTTGAACTTCCCTTTGTTAACCATATCATCCTAGACCTGTTGGACATTTTGGATATGATCACGAAGATCCATTATTCTCTTAATGATCCAAGAACCACTCTTTATTATATTAGATTCCATAGCTCCAGCCCCTTTGAAGTAGTAGACATGGACCCATTTAACCCAAAGATTGTCAATTTTCATACACAAGTTCCATAAGCACTTCATCAAAGCAACCCTGTTCCAAATACTCAGATTGATAATATTCTAACCCCCTTGACTCTCTGGTCTTCACATTGTATTCCAAGCCACTAGACTCTTTTTACTACACTCTATCCTGCATGTCTAAATAAAGGTTCTACACATAGTATCAATTTTATTGATAACAAAATAAGGTATAGGAAGACAATTCATCCAATACTGAGTAATAGCCCCAACAATACTATTCCTGCATAGCTTAGTAAATGAGATGTCCAATGTTTAATCCTACTCAGAATCCTATCAATCAAAGGCATGTAATGATTAATATTCAACCTGTTACTAGTAATTAGAACACTAAGATACCTGACTGGCAGCTGACCTTCATCAAAACTAGTAGTTTCAATCATCTGCAGCTTCAGATTTCTATCCATCCCTCCATAAAAATCTTACATTTCCCGGGATTGACTTCTAAACCTGTTGAATTAGAGAAAACCTGGATAGTGTTCATAATCCTCTTCACAGAACTGATGTCACCTATGCAGAATAAGAGAACATCATCTACAAAGGTGAGGTTAGTTATTCCTAACTTCTCACATTTTGCATGCTGATTAAAATTAGGGTTTTACTGCATCCTATTCAACAGTTTATCCAAATAATCCATCATGACCACAAAGAGAAAAGGGGAAATTGGATCCCCTTTCCTTAACCCCCTTCTAGCTTGCATAGTATTAAACATAACTCCATTGACATTAAACACATAAGAAACTGTATTTTGAGTTATCATTACCCAGATAATGAAAATCCTTGGCATCCCAATATCTCTTAGCACTTGTTCCATGGCATACCAATGAACCATGTCATAAGCTGTTTGGAGGTCAAATTGAACCATACACCTAGGAGTACCACCCTTCCTAGCATAGCCTTGTAACAATTCATAAGCTAGCATAATGTGATCGTGACTGATTTGCCCTGGAATGAAAGCTGCTTGGTTAATATCAACAACACTTGGAAGAACCCTGCCCAACCTTCTTGTCATTGATAGTTGGAATCTGCCAGCTAGTGGAAGATTAGGGTTTAACCCTAATTCCCAAAAGCTGTGCAGACCTTCTTTTGCCCCAAGCTACTCAGAAAGCCCAAAACCGTTGATTTTGAATCGAATATAGAAATTTGATATTTGATCAAAAGATTTGTTTTTTATTGAAGCGAATTTACAATGTAATAGTGTCCAGACACATACACAATACAAACCCCAATTCTAATTTCTAACAAAATCTAAATCTTTCTAAATTAAATTCAAATCAAATCCTAAAATTAATTTTGATTGAACCAATTTCTAACCTAAAACTGCCAATCAACTAACTAATTTCCTAATTTAACAAATCCTAAAGCCTATAAATTTAGACCTAAGCTATTGGAATCAACAGACAGAAAACCCTTGGAGATTCTTGTTATTGTTACATAATCATTACACCTCCACCAGAGCTTTGCATCAATAAAGACTTAAGTTTCACGACTGAAACTCAATGTTCTTTGAGCTAAACATCTAACCTTTCAAAGCACATGTGAAGAGAAAAGAAGAAGGAGATTAGAAGGAGAAGAAGAAAAAACCAGAAGAGAAAATTATACGAAAAGAATCACTATGTAGAAGACGGTAAGCCTAATCACTTAGATTAGGGTATAATTTTGTTGATGATTTGTGTTGTTCTTTTTTTGCTTGGATTAGGGTTTCTGAATTTTTGATGATGGGGTTAGGGCTATGGTAAAACATGTTAGGGTTTGGTGATTTGGGTAGGGTTAGGATACAAACAGGTTAGGTTTTGATGATTCAATTAGGGTTTGGAAGTAGGGTTAGGGTTTGGATAAAGTTGTTAGGGTTAGCTTATATCTTCATAGAGTTCTCGCGAACCCAGATGAAGATATGAAGATATGGGTTTTTGGTTGAAGATGGGTTAAAGATCTTCATCAACAGATGGGTTATGGATGAAGGTGGATGGTGGTTAATGTTTAAGCTGTGGTGTCCTGGAGCTGCCCCAAGTGGAAGCGATTTCCGGTCAGTGGCACCCAGGGCAGGGCGATTTCCGATTACCAGAATTCTAGAGAGAAGGCTGAGCCTCTCTCTCTAGAATTATAACAAGAGGTTTGTTTCATTTGGTGTAGAGAGAGAAGATAGGGAGAAAAATGAGCCTAAGGCCCAAAATTTTGTTTAAATAATACTCCTTTTGTCTCTGGATGCACGCCAGGTCGCTCCCTGAGAGCCCCTAGATGAGGTGGTCGTTGACCAGTCACCGGTGCCTCGTTTATCATACTCTCACTCAATTTTCAAATCACAACCATCCATCCTGATTACCCCTAGATCAATGCTCCAGGGAAAAATTCTGAGAGTTGTTAT